GCAGGGGAGGGGGCTATACAGGCGGCGCCCTGGGAGAAGCTTCTCAAAGCTCCCCCCCAGCTCCAAGTCAGCTCCACCTCTGCACCAAAACTGAGCCCATCAGCTGCGCCTCTGCGAGAACGTATTTAAGAAGGGACGTGGTGAGGAGCAGTGGGACTGGTGAGGAGGAGTTGGGGCAGCTGCGTGAACACCAAGGTCAGTGGGGGAATGGAGGAAGAAAGGAGGGGGGAGGTGTGCCGGAGCAGAGACCCCCCTGTATCCTGTGGGGAGACGGCAAGGCGGCCCCCCCTGCCACCCATGGAGATCTACGGTGGAGCAGACACTGATTTATGGCCTGTGGCTTCCACCTGCATGATCAAGGTGCTGTGCCTGAAGAAGGCTGGGGTCTTGTGGGAAAAGGTAGCCCTGCTGCTGTAATTCAGAGCTGGGAGGATTGCAGCATGCGGGGGTGTCCCACACCGGAGCAGCTCGGGAAGGGCTGCAGCCATGGGAGGGAATCCAGTTGGAGAAAGTTGGTGACCCACGATGGAGCAGTGTGGTGAATGCTGCGGCCTGTGGGAGGGACTCATGTCGGAGAGGGTTTGTGGAGGACTGTCTCCTGTGAGAGGGGGACAATGATGCAGCAGGGGGAAGAAGTTCCAGAAGCTCCCCCCACCACAGATGACAGAAGCAGCAGCACTGACTGCACCCCTCATTCCCTGCCCCTGCGCTGCTGCGGGAGGAGGTAGAGATATCGGGAGCAGAGCTGAGCCCGGGAAGAAGGGAGGGGTGGGGGGAAGGTGTTCTCAAGATGTGGCAATGCTGCTCACTGTCCTACTCTGTTAAGTGTTGTTAGTGTCTGTAATAAATGTATGTTCTTTTTTTCTTCCCCTAACGAGTCTGCCTTTTGCTCATGCCCATAAGGGGTGTTTTTTCCCCCATCCCAGTCCTATCTCGAACCCCAAGCCTGGCTCTCTGCCCCTTCTTATTGCCGGAGGAGAGGGGAGGGAAGGTGGCTACGGGGTGTTTGGCTGCTGACCAGGCTCAAACCACGACAAAATAACACCAAAACAGACAGTAATTTGTGGACAAATTGAAGTGAAAGTATTACAGCTGAATAGAAAAATATTTGCAATGGTATAATCATTGATGAGCAAGTGTGTCTTTGAGAGGTGCATCAGGAAAAGTTATACTTTTCATTTATGAGGTAACTTCATCACTAACAAATAATAAATTATATTCTGTAATAATTTTTCTGTGACATTTTTCCTTCTGCACATTGATTCTAGCTTAATTATGGAATTCAATTTAACTGTAGGCAACTTCTAGGTCTTCTGAAGAAGGAGTAATATGGTTGTATTACCTTGACATTGTCAGATCTCGAAATAACATTTTGCACCCAAGGAAAATCAAAGGAAAATATCACATTTTTAATCCCTGTGAGTGGTACATAGTGATGAACAATAGTTATTACACTTTTAGGTCCCTGTTCATATAAATCATAGATGTGTTACTGTTTTTTTAGCAATGTAACAATAACACTTGCTCATTAATATAGGCATTTTCTAGCTTTTGTACTCTGCAACAGTGAATAATACACTGAGGTTATGCTGAGAAACAACATTCTAGTGTGGTGGTTTTGGCTGGGATAGAGTTAATTTTCTTCAGAGTAGCTGGTATGGGGCTGTGTTTTGGATTTGTGCTGAAAAGAGTGTTGATAACAGAGGGATGTTTTAGTTACTGCAGAGCAGCGCTTACTCAGAGCCAAGGCATTTGCTCTTCTCACCACCCCACCAGCGAGTGGCTGGGGGGGCACAAGGAGCTGGGAGGGGGCACAGCCGGGACAGCTGACCCCAACTGACCCCAGGGGTATCCTGGACCATATGGCATCACACTCAGCATATGGAGCTGGGCAGAGAAGGAGAAAGGGAGGGATATTTTGAGTGATGGCATCACCACATCAGACAACTACCCAAGTCACTGTTACACATGATGGAGCCTGGCTGTTCTGGGGATGGCCAAACCTGCCTGCCCATGGGAAGGCGGGGAATGAATTCCTTGTTTTGCTTTGTTTGTGCGTGTCACTTTTGTTTTACCTCTTACACTGTCTTTATCTCAACCTATGAGTTTTTCCACTCTTCTGAATCTCTCCCCCATCCCAGGGGGGCTGAGTGAGTGGCTCTTCAGTGCTTGCTTGCTAGCTGAGGTTAAACCATAATGTCTTGCAAAAGGAGGAGTAAAAGCAAAAAAACCCTACTATTGCTGTGTATAATTGTGAATAGGGTAGTAATTATGACAACTATTGCATAGAAAGTAATGTTGTGGTTTGAACCTGGACAACAGCCAAACACCATGCAGCTGCTTGCTCATCCTCCCCGCTCCTGGGGGATGGGGGAGGGAATTGGAGGGGTAAAGGGAGACTCACAGGTTGAGATAAAAACAGTTTAATAACTGTAATAAAATAGAACAATATTAATAATAGAATGTACAAATGGGTAATGCATAATGCGATTACTCAGCACCTGTTGACTGATACCCAGCCCACACCCTGGTAGTGATCCCAAAATACCAAGATCCCACAATCACAATCTCAGAAGTGAAAGAGAACCCCCTCCTTCCTGGCCACCCCTCCTTCATATACCGAGCAGGACGTTACATGCTATGGAATATTTCACTGCCCAGTTTGGGCCCAGTGCTCTGGCTGTGCTCCCTCCCAGCCTCTTGTGCACCCGCACCTGGGCAGGACACGGGAAGGTGGAGAGTCCTTGAAATCTCAGCAACAACTGAAACCATGAGTGTATTGTCAGCACTCTTCTCATCCCAAACCCCATACTGAATCCAAAGCACAGCACTATTCTAGATACTAAGAAGAAAAATTAACTCTATCCTAGCCAAAACCAGGACAAATAGTTAAAATAATTGACTTTTTTTTTTCTGGATAAACTAGTGAAGTTAGATGTCTTTGTTGAATTATCTGCAGTTGTATCCAAATCAGAAAAAGTGAAAGCACAATAAGATTTTTTGGGTTAATTTTTCTGGCGTGAAGCAAAATGGAGAGGAGAAATCAAAGCACCAGGTGATTTTGTTGCCATTCAGAAGAACCCTAGATGGCTGCAGAAATAAGCAGACAGGAATCTCCTGAATTTCAACCAAGTAAAATGCAAGCCACACATCTGGGGAGGAATTACCCCATGCTGCAGTATTGACTGGGGGACCAACTGTCTGCAAAGCAGCTTTTCAGGAAAGGATGCTGGTAGACAAGTGGAAGAGGAGCCAGCAATGTGCTCTTCTGGTGAAGATGGCCAGCAGCACCCTGGTCTGCATTAGGAAGGTTGGGGGAGGTGATCCTCCTGTATTAAGCAATGGTGAGACCCCCATCTTGAGTACTGTGTCCAGGTCTGGGCTTACCAGTACATGGACATATAGGACCAAGTCCATCAAAGGACCATGTAGGTCATTAAGGGATGAGGGCTTTTGACCTATGAGAGGAAGGTAAGAAAGCGAGGACTGCCTCAGCAAGTGAAGGCTTGCAGCAATCTTATCAACGTGTACAAAATCCTGATAGGAGGGAATAAAGAAGACAGAGCCAGCCTCTTCCCAGTGGTAGCCAGTGAAGGGAAAATAAACAGTGGACACAAATTAAAATACGAGAAATACCAGTTCTACATCAGAAAAAAACTACACTGGAACAGAGAGACAGTGAAGTTTCCATCCTTGAAGAAATCCAAAACCCACTGGCACCGAGCAACCTGCTATACGTGACTCTGCTTTGAGAAGGGAGTTGGACAGGACAGTCTTCAGTGGTCCCTTTCAAACTCCAGTTTGTCATTCTGTGGAAATGTCCCTTTCAAACTCTAGTCTGTGATTCTGTGAAAAGCACAAGGCAGGCCAAAAAGAGTTTAATGAGCTATATGTAAAAGGCATAAAAATGAATAATAATTATCTTTTCAAACGCGTCAGGAGCAGGAAGCCAGGCCAATACACAATTAGGTTGTGAAAAGCATGCTCAGAGAATTTTAAACCATAGCAGAAAAAAATAAGGTTTTTTGCATTCATGTTGACTATGGAAGAGTTAAAATTCCTGCAAAAGAATGTTCTCAGGAAACTCAGCAGAGGATATGTCTAAAACTGAAGTCTTTGTAAGGAAAGGGTAGGAAACACGCTGACTAAGTGAATGGCAACAAATCATCACAACCAAAGAGTATTCACCCACAGAATTCAACAATGAAAGAGCTGAGGTACGTGTTATATCAGGGAAATGTGAGCATGGTTTCTGTAAAGTAATTTCTCACAAACTTACTGGCTTTCTCTAAAGGAATCAACGACAACTTGGATAAAAGAAGAATGCTTGATATAAGCTGCATGGAAAGCTTCATTGTGAGGAAGGGACTGGAACATTTCAGCCTGGCACAAAAAGAGAGGGTGAACATGATGTGATAGGAATCTCTAAAATCTCAAATGTTATAGTGATTGACGGACAACTGCTTACTTCGTCTTCCCGTAACCACCAAATGAGAGCTGCAGTTAGCACGTTCAGAAGGGCAAGCAAAAGGTGAAAGTCCTTCACAAAATATACCATTAAGTAAGCTAAGTAACTCTGATCAGGAAGCTGAGGATGGTAAAATTCTCATGGGTTGAAAAAAACATAGCAAGAAATTAAGGGGTGAAAAATACAGCTGAGGTCCACTAAACACAAACAGATACACTCCTGGCTCAAGCATTTCCTGAGATGGAAGTTGTTGTGGAGTAAAAGAATATTCCTGGTAAGTGTCAAATTTATGTTTCTGATCTGTTTAATATAAGTTAACTCTTCTTAAAGTACTGGTTGCTGATTGTTGTCAAATATATCAGATTTTTGATCTGGCAAGCTTCAGTCATTCTTCTGGATAGGCGCATGTTGTTCTCGCAGGTGCCTTTGGAAGTTGACACATATGAAAAACTAGTGACAAAATCCAGACATCACTATCTAAAAAAGTAATACTAAATGAGAACTGTCAATAAAATAAATAAAATAAATTTACCCTTATGGGAAGATGGGAAGGTGCAAGGACTTCTTGTGTCTCAGAAATACCTTCATTTTCTTGAATGCTGCCATTGCCGCTCATGTCCCCTGAAGCCTGTGCAAAACCCAAGCATGATAGCAAGTTCATAAAAGTCAGGCAAAAGAAGTATGATCTCCAAGGAATCGGCTACTTCAGTGCAGAAAAACCTTTTTTTTTTTTTTTGTCACTTGGTGAAGCCTCAGTGTCATGATGATGTTATTTCAATACTTACAGCATTTCATGAAAATGACCCTTCAGAAAACTAGTTCATTTTCTTAGAGGTGTTATAGACAAGAGAAAATGATGCTTTTTGAAAAATCACAGTTTGAGGGGCTGTGTAGTCAAAAAAAAAAAAAAATTCCTCCATACAGATAGTTTTAAGTATGATACTATGTTCCCAAGAAGAAACACTATATTTAGTCTTATGAAAAATGTCTAATGGCAAATGACTTTGACTGAGGCACTGAAAGTAGATAAAGACGTGTTTATAAGAATACTCACATAAGGATCATCATCTTCACAATGATCTTCAGTAGCCCTTGGGTCAGATTTGATTGTCAGGTGTTGAATTGAGCCCTACATGAAACAACAAAAACAGTTCAAGGAAGCAATATTTTAAGTAGCATGTGTGAAGGGCAGGTGGAGGGGTGGGAATTAAACAAATCACCAAAAACCCCAGACTTTGTTCTGATTTGCTTGGAAAATTATCCGAAGCATAAAATTTCATGATAATAAACCCAGTTTAAAAATGTAAGTATGTTCTTATGTTTTCCTTTTCCAAAACGTAGAAAAAAAATGAAGCTACCATAATAAAATGACTATTGTGTCCCAAAGACAATACAATTGTTACACTGTATTGTTAGTGCCCCAGCTGAAGGATCCAGTCCTAGGTTATGTCTGGACAGACACAGAATGCTTTTCAGTCCAGAGACTTCTATTCAAGGAGCTAGAACATTTATACCAGGCAAAGTTCTTGGTTGTGCTCTGTCTGCTGAGTACTACCACAGACACAGCAGATCTGCTCACTCATGGGTAGAGAAACCCCGAGTCCTGGTAGGGAAAACGGCAACAGCTGTTGAGATGAGAAAAGTAGTATGCTTTGCTGTTACTTAATTCCAGAGGAGGAGCAGCTACCTTTGCTATACACTGCTATATATCTGACTTTCTGCTCACTCTTTTCTCTCTGCAGTGGCCTTTTATCCCTGTCTTAGAAGCACTGGGGAGTTTATAAGCAAGGAAGTACTTTTGAAGCAAAATTTCTGGTGACTTCTAGAATATTTCAGAAAGGAACAAATCTAAGATTCTATCTTTCATGAACCTATAATTTCTGTACCTTCAAAGACCATGAAACTCATGCAGCTGGTGCCTCATGAGTTTTCAGGCAATCTGAGATAACAGCTCAGTGAACTGAACAATCCTATTTCTCTCAAAACTTAATAACGGGCAACTCAGATATTGAACAATGTCAGACAAACTGAGCAGTTCACTGAAAAATTATGCATGAAAGGAGACACAACCAGACCACTTGAGCAGTCTCTTGGAAGTGATGCTTTGTTTTCACAGTACAAGTGAATTCCCTTTGGAGAACATATTTTTCTCCTCTTGCTCTAATCTGTGGCCCTGGATGGTGAAGGAGTGAAATGGAGAGTTCTAATGTTTCCCAAGTGTAGCTGCTAGCCAATCACTCCAACCAGGAAAGTCATGGCCAAGTCTGCCGTGGTAGGAACAGTAGATATGAGGTATTGCAGTCCCCCTCTGTGTCTTGTGCCTGCTGCTGCCTTCCCTGCTAAATCTGGTTTGCGGAATCCGGTGTCATCACTGATTCAGCTATATTTGGTTGTTGTCTGGTTTCTACTTTTCTTTACAAGCACCAGGGCTAGAATTTACTTTTGTTTCCATAAAATCTGATTATAATTATGTCCTTTTGTGTCTGGCAACCAGAGACTTAGGCACACAAATTCCCATTAGCCAGAGTGAACTGGCAACTGGCATCCATTCAGAGCCATTTGAACAATCTGCTGTGAATTGTTTCTATTTTGGGCAATCAGTGAAACAGTTCTTGTCATACAAACACAGCTTGAGGAGGAATCAGCCATTTAGTTTTTCTACTCAAAAGTGACTGTGACATATGATGCATGAAGGAATAAAGGCACAAGACCTAGAGTACACCTCACAATTGATAGTACCAAAACAATCGCAGTATTGGGTTAAGTATATGTACTTGATATAGCATACTGAACAGCCTATTTCAGTGGAAATGCCTTAGAGTGTAATCCACCATGTATTCCTGTCACTGTATTTACAGACCTATTGGTGATAATCTCAGCAACTAGTCATCACACATGTGTTTTCTAGGAGGGGTACCTAAGTGGTCGTATTTTCTTGAATTTTTCTCATTTTTAATTACTAGTACATAAGATAGAAAAAGGGTGACATTTCCCTTTCAGTTTGACAATGAGTCAATCTCATGCATCCTGACAGCTTTGACATTTCTGTTTGGAAGCTCAATGGTGGAGAATTCCAGCTGGGATGGAGCAGGAAGAATGACTGCACTCAAGCTATGAAGGCTTGGGAGCCTTGTAGTAGTGGTTTTGTTCCTTTTTATTTTTATAAAGCACCTGATAAACTTCAAGTGATATATAAATTGTAGAAATACAGCTTTATCTTCCAACTATCTTTATCTTTGATGAGATCATTCTCTTTTTTATGTTGAATGCGAAATAAACATATCTAGCTAATAAGAGTTTAAAATACTGACTTTCTATTAAGGTATTTTTCTCAGAAGTTAAACAAATAGATACTCTGAAATCTGCCTTTCTTAAAAAGACCATATAAAGTTATGTGATATATTTCCTTTGAAACTCCTAGTATTCAAACTGAGCACTGAGCTTAATATCTGGACCATTAATAAACTTCTGAGGTTCTAGGAACATTTGCATTTTAAGCCATAATTTATATATCTGCACTGCCTGAGCCCTAGCTGGGTGTGGAAAATACAAGCTATATAATTTGTAACCTCGTTTGGGATATAGCCATTCTAGGCAGACTTTCTTGGGTAGAGACTACCTGCACAAAACACTGAGGCATGTGAATTTATCAGACAGTACTTACTGTGAACTTTTCCAATCCTGTGGCTCCTGCGTTGCCAACAAATATCCCAGAGCCAGATTCAAATACCAAAGCTTGAGCTGACCTTTGAAACTGAACTCTCTGATATTCTTCACAGTCCATGAACAAAGCAACATCATTTCCCTGAACAGTCACTGTAAACCTATTCCACCTGTTAGTCATCACGGGCACTTTAAATGAAGCAGCCTCTCGGGAGATGTGGGAACCAGGCTCTGTGTAGTACATGATTATTCGCTGGGTGCTGTCGTCAACTGGTGAAAGTCTCATTCCCAGGTAAATAGTTTTCTGGAAGGCATCTGTTATTGCAAACAGCACTCCTCCATGGTCACTGTTTGGTTTCACTGTAACTACGATAGCGAAATCTCTGTAGAAAGGCAATGGTATTATAGCACTTGTCAATCGACCAATGTTAGCATCTGGACCAAAGCTGTAAGCTGGAAACCCTCCATAGCCAGTGACAAAGTAGACAGAAGGAGGAAGAGGAACTCCTATTAACTCTGTGAGGTCAAGATGTCCTTTTGAGCCTCGTTCTGTAAAGTGTGTGAAAAAAAAAACATGTTATTTATGCTTGAGGTGCACAGCCCATTTCATTTAAATGATTTAAGAAAAGCCTTAAAAATGATAATGCAGTGTTATAATACCAGTAACATGTCTAACAATTTAGGCCCCAGCTTAGTTTTAGTGCTTAAACACATCTAGCTAAGTACACGTGTCATTCTTTGTCCTTTGACTAACTGAGGTTACTCATATACTAAAGAAAGGTGCATGTGAATTTGGTGAAATTGAGTGGCAACAAGTTGTTCCTGCAACATATCACTTCAGCTGTCCACAAAGTACAAAGAAAAGTGCTAAATGTACTTGCAGAGTGGATTCAGTGAAGATTTAGCAGCCTTTTGTTTCCTCAAATAAACTAAGATGCTTTATCCTCACAAACTAAGATGACAACAAGACCTCTAGAAACAGAATGACACAGTTTCACAAATACAAGATTAAAATTACGGTGGATTTGCTTTAGCCCTTGCAGTTACCTGATTCTACAACAGATGTTAGATTTTATTTTTGCCCTTATTCTCAGATTTATCTCCTTAGTTGTACTGTGTACATAACAAATACTATTAAACTATCAAAATTCAGTTTTGAAATTAGAGTATTTTTGATTTGGCAAACACACAGAATTAAGTATCTCTGCCAAACATGCCCAGAGAGGCAACTCCTTCCTGTCAATGAAGGAGAAATGACAACAACTAAGTATCTTCACCCAATTTTAACTAGAGCCTTGGGAAAGCGTACTCTAGCAGCATACCAGAAACAGGTCTGCCATTTTCCTCCTTCTAAGAAGTAAAAACAAGCAAAAAAAGTTACCACTGTTAATCACGAGGGATTCAGATCTGAATCTATACAGAGCTCCACCCAAATCTAAAGCATTTCATCCCTTTGCAATCTCCTCTAATCTTACATTTTAAGTATTTCATTTTATCTGAAAGTCTCTGTTCTTCTTACTGGTATACATTTTCACCCTTTTGAGAATACTTATGTTATGCAGAAGCAAACAAAGTGCTAGGAATGTCTTAATGTAGTGACATCATGTAAGACTATAATCACTCTGTAAACTCCAGTTCATGACTAACTGCTGACTTTCTCAGCAGACATGAAAACAGTCATCATCCAAGAAAGTCAGATTTTTAAATCACTTTCTTAATCAAATACATCTTAGCCTTGGTTTATATTCTTCTTTGCTGAAAATCTCCAGATCCTGGGTAAAAGAGAGGATATATTTGGAACCACTGTTTTCCAGGTCCTTTATCTACCTCACACACCAGTGTACTATGGTTCTCAGATTAATTCCATCAGATAAAAATGTAGCATGGAAAACAGAGGTCTTGTGGTAGAACAGTACAGATGAGGTGAATGGTCGTGAAACCTCACTAAGAACAGAGGGAATCTGTGTCTCATAATTCACTTTTCCCCTTTCTACCGCAGTGGGTGTAAATAACATGTCTGGAAGAGTATCCATGGTGGTGAGGTACTGCTTTGTACCTACACAGCCTGTCATCTACTAGATCTGCCACTGCCAGTGTTCCCAAGGCCCTTCCTTGTGGTGACATCTCTGCATCAAGAAAGTTCCTGAAGATGATGTCCCCAGACAGCATTAAGCAAAGTTATCTCGCTCAATGGTCACTTAATTTTCAACACAGCATGAGGAGAACTGTTGCCCTCTATGATAATCTGATGCAGACATTTACAGGGGACAGGAGCTAAAACCAGCCTGTCTTCTTATAAGTGCATTGGGGACAACAGATACGAGTAAGTCCCTAGATCTGTTTTTTTGAACAAGTGCTTACAGAAGTGGAAAACAAGCTTCCAGTCTGCCTAAAGGTAACCAGTGATGAGACACATGGAGCTGGCTCTTAGTTCAGCCTAATTGTCAAGGATCAAGTCATCCCCAGATTTGGATGCATTTTGCCCTGAGATCACCTTCATTTTACCAGCAGCCCATACACTCTGGTCATGGGATGAACTGAAGTTTACTGGTTGCATATAAAACCACGGGATGTACACATATAATTACAACTTTTGCTTCAGAACCTGTAACACCTGGTTTCCTAGGGTTTGTCCCCTGCACCATTATTTTAATTTCAGCTTAGTACATCCTGCTAACCTGAAATATCTCAATTTTTTCCTCAAGTGCACAGAGCCTATTTTTGCTTCCAATACCTGTAGCACTCCTACGTCCCTCCCCTGACACAGCATGTGCTAAAGGATGGTTTCAAACTGCGTATGTTTGTATTAGCTGGCCAGTTCAGGCATAATAATTAGTCATCTAGATGGAGAAATTGGATAATTAACCTCACAGCTCTCACCATAGCTCTTTCTCATTAAGAGGTTTCAAGAATATAACAGAATGAGTGCCCATTAAGAGAGTCCTCTGTTACAGAGAAGATAATGAAATGAAATTAAACTGAGAAAAGGAGAAAAATATCTTAATATGAGGAAAATCATACTGACAATGCCACCTCTTTGCCTACAGTCTAATCCCTCAAGGGAGACAACGATCTTCCCCCATGCTGGCAATTTGAAACAAAACTATACAAAACAATCAAAAATGACTGTAGAGAATAATTTCAAAGTTATTGGCTATAACATGACTTCTAATCTTTGTTCCATGTTTTTTAAACTTTCCCAAGTCCTTCACGATGTATATATTTGTGCAATGTGGATTGTTGAAGTATTTTTCAATTTTGAAATGTGTTCAGTTACCTTAGCTGTAATAGCTATACAGGCTGAATGAATACAAATGAAATAGAAATGAAAAAGGTATGGCAGTCCATCTGAATACTGCAAACAAAGTGAACTGAAAAACTTCACTTAAAATACCTGATTAACATACTGAAAAATCAATTAATCTTGCACTTTGCTCTGAAACCTGGCAAGCTGGTTCTGATGAAGAGCTAGAGAGATATTCTTCAGAAAGACACTTCTGTTATTCACATGCAGTACCATCCTGGGCTATGTGTTGCAAAGTGGTTTCCATTGTCCTAGTGGCTTTGCAAAAAATGGTAAAATGTTCTCCCTGTGCTAAGATGTTATAGTCCAGTTGAAATCAATTCTAACCTATCGTATTCCCTGTACTTTAGCTTTGGCACTTACCTGCTAAGGGAAGTCATTAACTGGAAAAAGTCTGATATGCTCCATACAGAAACAATTTCTCATACATATTTTTAGAAAATATAGAAGACATGTTTAGAAGCAGAAAAACTAGCTCCTTATCCAGAAACTATTTCCCATAGGAACTTTCAAATGCTTTGTCTGATAGATTTTGCCTCTTCTTAATAGTTCGAAAAGTGGACACATTTTTTTTTTTTCTGGCCAGAGCTAATGATTTTTTGATTGGTAATCTAATATTGAGTCATATCTTATATTCACACATACATACACAAAAAGGAACCTCAACTACAATAAAATGCATAAGCCATTACTCAAGAGTAAAAAGGTAAGGAAAATAGTAAGCTTGAAGGAGAATATAGGTTCTGTGCACAGATACCAAACCTACTTCCAAAGAGCCATGGGAGAAGTGACCTAGAAAGCAGATGGAGAATATCTAAGGTGGCCAACAATCATCTTATCAGGCTTTGATAGCAGGATGCATCACAGAAGGGAATCTAATGAATAGAACTATGGTTTCCCACTTCCCATTCTCAAAGGAAGATTTGGCAAATGCAAAGAAGCCTGTTAATTCTCCCCACACAGCATGTGGAGCTGCATTCTAGTTGCGGTTTCCTAGTCACACACCAAACAGTAACATACAGAGCCCAAAACATTTGCTGTTTTAGTATAGGCTCTGAGGCAAATGAAACATATTTGCAAAAGGTGGCAGCAAAAGGCAGTAAAGAAGAATCAGGATTTTCATTTACGTAAACCAAGTCAGGAGGCTCAGTAAATGTCTGAACTACAGTGAGACTGGAGTAGAAGCTTGCACCTATCCACTACAGAAAAGCAAAACTAGAATTTTCTAGACAAATTCTGTACTTACAGCTCATCCCCAACACTTCATGGATTTATCAGGACCTACAGTTGCTTTTAATAGCAGAATATGGACTCAGTCACAGGTTCTGTTCCCATTCAGTTATCTCTGATAAATTCATGTCCCACTGCTACAGTTACATCATAATAAAAATGCCCTCTAATTCCCTTAAATCAATAGGTAAATGCTCTGCTATTTTAAATACCTTTAAGCCAACAGAGCACTATGTTGCCCCAGTATATTTTTGTTTCAAGCATGTATTGTTACTAAGCCACTGAATACTGGGGAACATTCAGAATTCATCCTGTTTATATCCATGTTTCCTAAAACTGGGGCACTGGAAGGTGTTGTACAGAAGCAGATTTAATATTTAGCTGTATTTTATCTCAGAGAAGAATGTAGTAGAATACCATAAATTGGGATTTTTATAATTCTAGAATTATGAGCTGTGCTATTCTTTGCATTTGTTACCATTTGTGACTGTATATTACAGTTGGAATTGTTATAGATTTTGCAGATAATGGAGATTCCCACTGAGTGGCTTCAGGGACCAGTTAAGAAGTATGACTGTTGTAAAAATAATCGTGTAAATCAATATATGGATTGTTTCAAGACTGCAGATGACAATAGTAGAGTGGTTTTGTTTTTTGTTTTTTGTTTTTTTTTTTTTTTAATTTTAATTATATATATTTTTTTTTGCATGTAATTACCTCACTGCTTCACTACTGAAAAGTGTAACAGTAAAAAAGCCAAACCACCATTTTGGCATTGGAAGATACCTGGTTTCCCCATAGCGTCCTTAGCACAGCAATCAATAACAGTGGAAGATCATGAAGCTCAAAATGGGCTGAAAAAAAAGGCAAAGCTCTTTTTAAACAGTTAGGAGGAGAAGGGTTTACTCATTGGACAGAAAAGGAGACCAGAAAGAAACATGATGTTGACAGTAGAAGGGCAGCAGATGAAGAAGTTCCTAAAAATGGAGTTACTGGCATTCACGGGAGCCATTCT